AGGCCGGCCGGAGCCGGCAGCTGGCCAGAAGCCACCCCCAAGGCTAGTCCCGGCTCCTCCCCACCAGGAGGCCACCACTTCCCCTCCAGGGCACCTTGCACAGTGCTGACATGTTTTCAAAGCCCGCTGCTGCATTTTCCACCTGGGGATCCAGGAGATGGAGGTGCTAGTTCCAACTCTAGAAACGACCCCTGGGTGACAGGAGCCACGTTTCCCCCTGCTCTAGCTGACCGTGGCACCCGTCTCGGTTAGCTGTACCGCTGGGTGTGCAGGGTCCTTCTGGTTTGCGAAGCTAAGCAAATCTCACTCAGGCCCATTCTCACTCCCTGCCAAAAAAACGAGCTGCCGTCTTCTGAATGTCACCAGCTTTCGCCACTAGGGGTGGCTGTGACTTCAGAAATAGCCCGTGTGATTTCCTGTAACTGAACAGACTTACAAAAAACCTCTAAGAGAATCTGCAAAAAATCTGAACAAGGGTTATGTCAATCGGAGCAGAAAGAACAAAATCCAAATGGACAAGAGACATATCCGAAAAAATCAACCTCACTAATAAAGACAAAGAAATCCACATTAAAACAATCGGATGCCGTTATTTCACCTATGAAAAGGAAAAGTGGTTTTGTTTGTTTAATTTTATTTTCTTTTAATAGCATTTGGTGCTGGCAAAAGTAGTGAGGCAGATGCTCTCATCCTGGAAAGCAGTCTGGCAATTTTTGTTATTAATGGAATTAATAAGGTCCACACCCTTCCACCCAGTTAGCCTCTGAAATGTCCACACCCTTTGCCACATTAAATTCACTTCTAGGAGTAAACCCAAAAGCAAACAAAAAGGAGAGCCCAAAAGGCTTACGGGCAAAGACTTCCATCACAGCATTATTGCATAATAGTGAAAATCCGTAAACGATCTAAATGCTTAAGAACAATTAATGTAGTCAATAGAAGTCACACTGTCAAAGAATGCTTATGACCTGTTTATGTGATAAGAAAAGTACTTATGATATGCTTAGGGGAGTTTTAAAAGAAAACACAACTTAACACTCGACTTAACACTCCGTATCTGAGTATATAATTCAAGCACGACTTGAATTCTGTTGGTTACAGATGTGTGCTTAGGAAGTGCAGTGGGAAGAACTGTACCATATCTCTAGGGGAAATGTTTATGTTCTTTATGTTTTATAGGATATATTTTATATTCTACAATGAATTTCTATTATTGTTATAGTCAAAAGCAATCGTTTTTTTCTTTTTTTCCCCCAAAATCGGCCAGGCAGGCTGTCATCTCCTGGATCCACCCTGGTTATGGGCAGGAATTATTGACTGGACCTTCCCCACTCACCTTCCTGGTCCTTAAGAAGACTTTTGTTTTTAAATTCTGCTAGCCCCGGCCTGCTCACCCTCGTTTCCCCGAGTCCTTCTCAGTCCGGCTGCCACGGCTTTTCTCCTGCTGGGCCCTCACCGGGGCGCCCTCAGGTCTGCTCAAGCCTTGTGCCCTGTAAGGGCTGCAGCCCCCTGCCCTTCCTCCCACGGAACTCTGACAACCACATTTTTTGCAAGGGTGCAAATTTGCAACCCATCTTACACTCCCTCGCTCTCTTTCTTTCCCTTCCCAAGTGCTCAAACCAGTATCCGGACAAAGGTACAGAGCAACACAACTGAGCCAGCTTGCTTCTGGTCTTGCCTCTAAGTCATGAACCCTCTCAGCGTGACACGCCTGCAGGTCAAGGTCATTCCTGCCTCAGAGTTTTTGCTCACAGTTTGTTCCTGCCCTGGGTATCCTCACACACTGCAAACCTCTTTCGGGGTCTCACCAAGACTCCTGCCCTCCCCAGGGTCTACCCTGCCTACACCAGCCCCCACCCATCCCTGCCTCTGGCGCCATCTCCCCAATTCACCCATTATCTTCACTAGACAACTGAACCCCTAAGTGTGTAAACACATGATGTGACCATAGCCCAGGCTTGTTCACTGAGCACTTTTGGGGTTCACCTCGAGCAGGGGAATGGTAGCATGCATCTGAATCTCCTGGAGGGCAGTCAGGACCCCACCCAGAGTGTCTGATTCAGTAGGTCAGAGGCGGGCCAGAGAACTTGATTTCTAACAAGCACCCAGGTGATGCTGCTGCTACTGGTCTGGGGACCACACTTTTTGAGAACTTCTGACCTAGAGCAACAGTTGCAAACTGGTGTCCCAAGGGCCACATCTGGTTCACAGAAATTTCACATAAAAATCTGAATTTCCATCTTTTCTTTAAAAGTCAGCATTTGTCCACACAGGGTCTTCTTTCTCCCGTGGCAGTCACCACTGGCTGTTCACCCCAGGCCCCAAGTCCTGCCCCAGCTGCTCCCATCTGTGTCCTGGTCCAGAGCCTTCGGGGCCTGGCAACTGTGGGTTCATAGCCGGGACTGAGTCTCAGAGAGCCAGTTTCTCCCAGCCTGGCACCATGAGCTGTGCCAGAAACTCTGCCCACAGATGCTCTGCCTCCCCCAGACAGGCTTCCTCCAAGTCTGCTGTCCATTTCCAACTGTAAATTCTTTTCTGTTCCCTCCACAGGCCAGCAAACATGGCCACGCTGTACCCCTGGAGCCCCACAGCAGGGGCAAATCTGACCCTGGTCCAGAGGCTTGCCCAGCCTCACCTCCCTCCAGAGGTCGGGGGCCCAAAAGACAAAAGAGAAGGCTGAAGATAGAGCAGTATGAGGAAGGAGCTCCCAGATGGCTCCCGGTGAGGGGCGGGGGGCTGCGCCTCTCCCTAAGACAGCCCTTGGTGCAGTGATATGATAAAGGGGGCCTGTCCACCACCATGTGTAGGGGGGTATATAGCACCCCCCAAAAAATATTGTTTACCCAGAACCTCAGGCACACCTTATTTGGAAATAGAATCTTTGCAGATGTAATTAAGGCCCACCCTAAATCCAATGACTGGTGCCTGTATCAGAAGAGGAGAGTACACAGAGACAGAGAGAGGGAAAGACCACGTGAAGGCAGAGGCAGAGGCCGGAGCGATGCTGTCACAAGCCAAGGGACGCCAGGAGCCGCCAGAGGTTGAAGAGGCAGGAAGAATGCCCCCCTAGAGCCTTCAGAGGGAGCGTGACCCTGCCTACACCTTGACTTCAGACTTCTGGCCTCCAGCCCTGAGACAGGATAAACGTCTGCTGCTGTAAGCCACCGAGCCTGTGGCAATCTGCTATTGCAGCCAATCCTTCTGCAACACCCCAGCCCCTCCGCAGGCCCACAGCCTGCATCCCACCCTCTCTCACTCCACAGCCAAACCTGGCCAAGTCCTGCAAGCTGCCTCCACAAACTTTGTCCCCTCCACCAGTTGTGTCCCTTATTCCAGGCCTTCTCTTGCTCACTTCCATCTCTGGGACTGGCCCTCATTACTCCCTGTCCAGAAGGTGGCGACAGCAGCTCCTTTCAAAGCAAGACTGACCTTCCGAAAGCAGAGGCCCTCTCAGTCACAGCCCCAGATCTGATCCTGAACCCCCCAGGTGCCCCTGCTATCTCATGAACCAGCTTTCCACCCTGGCCTCTCTCTGTCCTACCGCTGAGCCTCTGCTCGTGCTGGTCCCTCTCCCTCGAACGCTGTCCTCACCTCCGCATGACCACCTGCGTGAACACTGCCCACCTTCAAGACCATGTCAAGTGGCACCTCACCCATGGTGCTCCTCCTTCTCCTCAAGACCTGGAGACTTCCAGAACACTGGGTCTCTGCCTTCCACTGTGCTAAATGCTCCGAGCCTTCGCAGATCCTTCCACAAGGACCAGGTTGGACTCAAGTCCGCTGCTGATTCCTCGCAGGATCAAGTCCTGACCTCATCCATTCAGCACAGAGCTCCCAGGGCCTAACTCTGTGCCAGGCTTCAGAGAGTGAGGCCAAGGCAGCCCAGGTCCCTGTCACCACGGCAGGAACTCTCCAGTGGGCACGTGGGAGGCACCAGAAACATGGGCTGAATTTGATTCAACTAAATCGAATCTCCGAATCTGAAGGGATCTCGGTCTGGCCTCCTGCCAGCAGGCGTGAGAGGCTTCTAGGGCCTTTTTTTTTTCTGTCCTCATTTCAACTTATTTTTCTTTCTCCCAACAAACTGCTCCCCCTCTGCCTTTTAATTTTGTTCTTTATGGAGGAAGGGACAGAGGAACAGGCTGCCTTCTCCAGGCACCTGGCTGCGCTTCTCCCGTGTGTCTTAAGGCCCAGACACTTTCACAAGCCCCCTTCCCACCTGCCGGCCACGCCCAGGGAGGCCAGAAATCCTCTCCCTGCCACCTCTGTCCCCGCCGTACTCCTAGCACCCGTGAGTCTGGGAAGGCACTGCTGCCACCTGCCCCCAGCGCCTGCCCCATTCCCATGACCACCCGCTGACTGCGCCCACGCAGCCTATGACTCACGCCTACCATGCCTGCCTGAGCTGGGGTCAGCTGGAGCCTGGGTGGAAGGCGAGCGTGGGAGCCCCAGAGGGCGCCTGCCCGAGGCTGGGAAGCATCTCAACTTCTCACCAGCAAGAATGGCCCAGTTGCCGTGGTTACAGCAGAGCCCGGCTCTGGGCCAAGGCCTCCCCGGGGCGGTTTCCACAGAACCCCCAGTACTCACAGTGGAGCCAGGAGAATCCCCGGGGCATGGTGGTGTGCAGGGTCTCCTAGAGAGCAGAGGCGGTGTCCCCGGCGGTATGTCTATCCACAGAGGCCCAAGTGGGGCCTACATGGCATCAGGTCAGCACAGGTAGCCCAAAGTTGAAGAAGGGCTGGCCAGGGAGGATGGCCTGGCAGGGGGACACAGGTGCTCCCGGGGCAGTGCCACCCTTATCTGCCTGGCCGTGGGGAGGGCAGCTCAGGGGCAGCTTCGAGTTCCATGGCAGCCCAGACCTGGCCTGAGAGAGCAGCCTCAGGGTCTTCCTTCTGGAGCAGGAGGAGAGAGTCCCCAGCAGGCCCCTCGGAATCTGAGGCTGGGTTCTGCTTTCTCTGCTTTCTCTGATTTCTCCGTCTGCAGCTGCTCAGTGTGAAATCTGGCTCTGGAAAGAGAAAGGAGGAGAGAAACCAATTATGTAAGAGCAGCGCTGCCACTCAGCCATCAGCCACAGGCAGAGAGCCTAATGTGGGTGCTGCACCCACCGCCCAGCAGCAACCCCCGGGGAAGGACAGAGGCGCACAGTCCTGCCCTGGCAGCTGCCTACTCGGGAAACAAGCTCACACACAAGAAATGACTTCAGAACACCCAAAGGGCGGCATCGGCCCAGGAGTGAGCTGTGATGACACCGGCTGGCAGCCTGAACTAAGGCAGGACCAAGGAATGAATGACCGTACGGGTTAAATCAAGGGAGATTCCTGAAGAAGGTAAGATTTGTAGGGAAAGTATTTGTATGACTCCGGCTGTAGGGAAGTTAAAAATGGAAATGATTCACCCCTCCACTCACCTTCAGGCTTAGTCCCATGCTCCTATTACCCCAAGTTTGCAACCCCTCTTAATAGACTGCCCAGTTAAATTTTAATTTCATTTGAACACTCACATATTTTTTAGTATAATTATGTCATGAATACTTTTTAGTATAGGTATGTCTCAAATTCTGCATGGGACATATACTAAAAAAAAGTTAATTGTTGTCCTGGCAGGTGTGGCTCAGTTGGTGGAGCATCATCCATGCACCAAAAGGTCGCCGGTTCGATTCCCAGTCAGGGCACATGCCCAGGTTGCTGGCTCTGTCCCAGGTAGGGGGCGTGCAGGAGGCAGATCAATGTTTCTCTCTCACATTGATGTTTCTCTCTCTCCCTTCCTCTCTCTCTAAAATCAATAAAAACATATTTTTTTAAAAATAATTCATTGTTTATTAGCAATTCCAATTAGGTTGGCAGTCCTGTATTTTTATTTGCTAAATTTAGCAACCCTATGATAATAATGGGATAGCTCTTCCTGAATGCTCACTATAGGCTAGGCCCAGGGTTAAGGCCTTTGTATTCATTGAATCCTCACAATAATCTTATGGGGCCAAAAAAAAAATCTCACTTTTATCAATGAAGAAATCAGGGCCCAGAAAGGTTAAGACACTTGTCCACGGTCACACAGCTTGTAAGAAGTGCAACAAGAATTCAAACAAGGCCTGCTGGTGGCCACTCCCACAAGGCAATGCCCCTATGTTTTAGGAAGCCCATACCAGCTGGGCACTGGGCTTGGCACTCTCATGCCGCCATCTCATCTATCCCTCACTGCACTTTGCCAGGTAGTGGCCATTGTCCCCATTTTGCAGATGAGATAACTAAAGCTTTGAGAGGCTGAGCTGGCTGGCGACAGAACCAGCTCTGAAATTCAGTCTCTGACTCAGATCTGTTTCAGGTCCTTGTCTTCCGTTTCCCCTCTGGTCAGGGAAATGGTCACAGGTTGATGGCAGGAGGGGAAAGTAGGTATAATTTGGGGGTCTTCTCTATTGTGGCTCCGGTTCATCCCTACAGAATGAACTGGTCCTTGCATGCAGGGGTTCCCAGATGGCAGGCAGGGACTCGCCCAAAGAGCACAGGTCCCTATCCACACTACATGTGAGGTCAGACCTGGATCTCAATTCCTCTTCCAATCCCTACTATTACAGTGTCACCACAGACACTAACCTAACTAAACTTGTCATTAGTTTAATTTTTTTAGGTGTATTGAGGTATAATTTATATACAGTAAAATTCACCTTTTTTAGTGTACAAATCTATGAGTTTTGACAAATTCATAGAGTTGTATAACCACTACAATAATCAAGATATAAAACATTTCCATCCACAGGGGGGATGGGAAGAGGTTAACTGAAGAACTTATATGCATATATGCATAACCCGGGGACACAGACAATAGTGCGGTGAAGGCCTGGGGGACGGAGGGGGTCAGTGAGGGGAAAAGGGGGACATCTGTAATACTTTCAACAATAAATATAAATTTCAAACAAACAAACAAAAAACATCTCCAACCACCCAGGAAATTCCTTCCGGTCTCTGCCCAGCAGTTGCACCGTTTCCAGGCTGCCAGGTGCCCACGGTCGCAGTGTGCAGCCTTTTGCACCAGGCTCCTTTCACTCGGCATGCTGCATTTGGGCTCAGTCAGGGTGCTGAGTGTGTGTATCAGTGGTTTGTCCCTTTTTCTGGCTGAGAAGCATTCCATTGCATAGCAGAATCACTGTCTGTTTGTCCATCCACCAGTCAAAGGGCACCTGGGTTGTTTCCAGTTTAGGATAATTATGAATGAAACCCCCACAAGCCTCTGCGCACAGGTTTTGGTGGGGCTGAAGTTTCCATTTCCCTCAAGACGCTCTGTAAATGAACGTGCTCTGCAGCCCTTCAGCACATCGGAGCTCTGCAAGCTGTCCTGTCCTGTTCCCATGGTTAGAGCATGCCTCAGCCAAGACCTCGCCAATCGCATGCACACAGCAGCTCTGTGCCCGGTCCACACCCCACAGAACTCTGACAGCCTCCTCACTCAGAAGTCTCCCAGTGCTAGCCCCAGTGCTAGGCCCCACCCTGGACCACAAATCCTTGCCCACAAATCCTGGAGGAGGTGAGAAAGGGAGAAACGGGGTCATGGTCGCCTTCCTCCACTCCACATAGTCCTGAAACTGGGCTCCATCTGTGGTTATAGGAATGGGGGGTGGGACAGCCCTGAATTGGGGGGTGGCGGATGTGAAAGCCAAGGAGGGCACTGAGTTACCTAATGACATGGGAGCCAGAGCCAGGGGGAAAGGGCACAGAGGAAACCAGGGTGCTCACAGAGGCCCTAAAGCAGGCCCCTGCAGGCCTGAGAGTAATACAAGTGGCATTGCCGATAACTAGGAGCCCATGGTGTGCCTGCCCCCCTGCCCCACCCCGTGAGAGAGGGTGAATTATATAATAGGCCCTGGCCGGGGAATTCAGTTGGTTAGAGCATTGTCCCGATACACCAAGGTTGTGGGTTTGATTCTGGGTCAGGACACACACAAGAATCAACCAATGAATACATAAATAAGTGGGATAACATATCTGTGCTTCTCTCTCTTCTTTCCCCTCTCTAAAATCAATAAAATTAAAATAAAAGAATATGAGAATACATTTCTCCCACCTCCGCCCCCACTCCATCCCTGGGGCTTAGAGCAGCCATTAGGAAACCCATGCAGGGAAAAGTTATGCAAAAAAATTAAAGTTGGACTATTTTTCTGCCTGGGTCATTTGTGAATAGCATTTTCAAAATCACAATAGCAGGTAAAAAGTGAACATTAATTTAACAAAATCATGACTTAAGAGTGCTGGGAAGTCAAGGAGTTGAGGAGGGAGCCAGTGTATGAGGATAGTGGGTGACAAGGAGCTGAATCTTCCATGGTGGGAAGTCAACAAATAATACCTCAAAAGAAGATGTAGCAATATGAGCATGCTATTTAAAAGATAAATATATAGATTGCTTTTTTAAAAAGTTGAAAGTCCTGTGTCTGGGGAGCAGGAAATGGGGAGGAGGGAGCAGACAGAAGCATGCTGTTGTTCATAACAGCATCCTATTGGACAATTTGATCCTTTAATTCAGGTGCAGGTATAACTTTGGTTTAAAAAAATAAAACTAAACGGTGCAGAAATTGCATTGCCATGTCTATCCAGGTCAGGCAGCAAGGGCCTGCTCCCCCAGGACCTCCACTGCTCCCTCCTTTGCAAGACCACCTGCCTGAGAACCAGGATGGCTCCACCTCCAAGGGACGGAGTCAAGATCAGAACTAGAGTCCAGCAGTTAAACTCCAGGGCCAGCCCAGCCTGAAGAGGTGATGTGGGTTTCTGTTCAGGACACATACGCTCCATCAGCTGTGCAACAAACCACCCAAACCTACAGCAGCAGAAACAACAATCATTTCTTATTTTTCATGAATCTATAGGTTGGCTGGGACTCGGCCAATGTGGCTGGGCTGGGCTGATCTAGCCTGGGTTCACTCACGCTGGTAGGTTGGCAGAGTGCTGGCTGGTCTAGGGTGCCTCAGCTGGGATGACTGCCCTCCAGCAGGCTAGCCTAGGTTTGTTCTTGTGACAGAGGCAGGATTCTAAGAAAGGGAGTAAATGAGTTGATGGCCCTTAAGGGTGAGGCACAGGACAATCACACTATCACTTCTACCACATTTTATCCACCAAAGCAGATTGGTAAGGGAAAGGTGGGGGGATAGATTCCATTTCTTGATGGAAGGAGCTGCAAAACATCATTGCAAAAGGCATGGATGGGGCGTGCATGTGGGAATTGGGGCCACTTTTGCAACCAATCTATTACACCCACACAGGGCATTCTTCTCCCCAAAGTGGCCAGGCCTGGCCTGAGGCCCAGGGAACACAGCGTTGGACCACCTGCTCCAGCCTGACCACTTCCCTGTAAGTAGGGTTGGGCCACAAGGGCCTCGGAGACATTCCATGCAACCCCCACATCCCAGCGATGAGGAAACAGGAAGGGAGCTGGCCCTAGGCCACACGCCCAGCTTCACCCTCCTCCTCCTCTGAATCAAGCCACTCTGTCCTTTGAGAATATCTGGGGGGAACAATGAGCAGCCACCAAGAGTGAGTCACATATGTTCTATTCAAGAGGAGGTGGGAGAAAAATAAAACCAAACTCAGACTATGGAAAAAGGGAGACAAACAAAAGTAGAAACAGAAACGAATTATTCTGGTTAATTCCATTAGC